CCTAAAAAATAATAAACTCTCTATTTTTCTTAAATATCTCTATATTGATATTAAAATTTAAACTCGAAATCAAAGAAATAATTTATATTACTCTTTTATTGAAACATTATAAAGAAAATTATGATTAGATCCGGTAACATTGTAAAAGTAGAAGAAATTGATAGAATCGGATGCTAGATAAGTGATAAAGACATATGTGGTGTTATGGCGACCTATCTCATTATAAAGGGGACAAGACAAAAGGCCTGAATGAGGACAGCTACAGGAGATTGGTTTGGGCAAGTGTGGGCATTGCTTGTTGTCTTGTGGCTGTGGGTAGCTGGCTATGTAGTCCGTGTTTCCTTTTGCCCTTTCAACATCCCCATGTCCACACTTTCTGGGTTTGATTGTGTTATCTCCAATCATTTAGACTCACCCTATGACCCTACTTCCACATTTACAAAAGTGATATAATCCTTATCGAATCACACACTTAATTAAAACATTTGTTTGACAAATGCCAACCCGTCAAACATGTGTTTTTTGCCATTTAAAACGAACAAAAACTTTCAGGATGAGGTGATTTTAATGCAGGTTTTGAGTAAAATACGTGTTTTTCATTTTTTAAAAAATAATTATGATTCTTAGATTTGTTAAACATGCGTTTTTGCCACTTAAATTGAACAAAAGCTTTTGGGATGAGGTGATTTTAATGCAGGTTTTGGGTAAAATGTGTGGTTTTCATTTTTTAAAATTAAGTATGATTCTTAGATAGAAAATGCAAGTCCGCAACCAAAAGGTCATCAAAGTAGCGCAATTAATCTAACTTTTGTCATCAACATTTATACCATCATAAACATTTCAAATTCCCAATTAGGTGATTTAATAAAGATTATCACACATGGATTATATATGTAACAAAGTAATTAAACCTAATCCACGGTTTTAGAATAGGAAAAGAGACTGTCTTCTGGTCAAAAACAGCATCCTAAGAAAAGCCGTGTACTGTATTTTGGTCAGACAAATTAACCACAAGCGATGGGCAAAAATTGAAACCGGCCATTTCCTCCTCTTATTTACCTCCCTTCTATTTATAGAAAGTCTACCCTGGTTGGCTCTTCCTTCCCAACAAAACTACTTTTTGATCTTCCCCATAATTTTAACCTTATCATGAACAGTTGACATTTTTCCATGAAACAGGAAATGCGTGTCTCTGTTTAACAAAGAATAAATAAATAAATAAATAAATAAATAAATAAACAAATAAAAACAGAGTCTGCCTCCCTGCATGTGAAAGCCACTCATGTAGTTTCATCTTTGATTTTACAATTTTTTTTTATATGATAGAAATTCATTCCCTCAATCATTCAATCACTGATCAAATTCAGCTGTCAGATTCTTTTTAATTATTTTTGGAAAAATAATTATTAATAAAATATTAATTTGAGGGCCTAGAGGCCTCAAGCTTGATTAAAGAGGGGATGTGCTGCTATCCCCTGACATAAATATGGATAAACTTTGCTTTAAGATTTGTCAATCGTTGATACCTAATTAATTAACTAAGTATTCTTTTTGAATTACTTGAGAATGTATTTGTTTTATATGTTCAAGGGAAGTAAATCCTTTAGTTTAATGCAAAGATTTGATTCTTTCCCCCTATAATTTTAGTAATGTGAACACGTTTTTTTTTTCCTTGTTCCCTTCATTTCATAATATTTGTAAATTTTTTTGGTACATGTGAATGAGATATTATAAGATATAATTTTTTTTCTTTTTAATTTTTTTATTAGACTCATAATTTATTTTAAATTAAAATCTCAAATTCTTATCATTTTAGATAGTTTGGCCTTAATTATAAAAATGTTATAAGGTAGGAAGATTATACTTTATACATACTATGACTTAGGGTTTTATTATAAAAATAAAATAAAATCATTGTTGGAAGCAAATGGAGATATAATGGGAAACTCTTGATGAGTAAATTAATTAAGGTGGATTTTAATTAATGTCAACTTGTGATTGAACTTGACTCCACCATTATTTATGAAGCAAATTTAATTTGAAGCATTAATTGCTTTGCTAATCATTTTTGAAGCATTAGTTGCTAGTCAAACTCAACACATACATTCTCTTGATTAAGATCTTAACCTGAACTTAATTATTTGTCAGAACAGAATTCATTAGACTTTTGGTAGCAACTTATCATCATCTTATGTTGTGTCGTAATCTTAATCCAATCACTGTAAAACCCAAAACGAGACATTAGTTTAGTAACTAGATTATAAACTTAAATTTTATGTCAAATTGTTAAGTTTAGAGTTTAAATCAAGCAACAATTCTCCTAGAAATAAAAAAGAACTATTTGCACATTGTATTGTGCTCTATCTTCAAGAATAGAGATGATATACATCACCCCAGATCAAATATGGCAGCAATTGGAGTCAATCCCATCTTCAAAATTTAGCATGTGAATTCCACACGCCATATGTATTGGAAATAATGCAAAACCGGGCCTGCCATGGAAAACATGGTCCCATATGGAGATGGAGGAAAGAAAACCATAACCTTAACAGAAAACGAACTACAATTAATGCAATAAGTAAAATAATTAAGCCCCTAAGATCGATCATCTAATTGGTTGGATTATAAACAAAGTGTTTTAGACGTCACGTTCAGAAAAGTAAAGGCATTCACGTGTAGCGCAGTGTTTGGGAGCGTGCACCATGTGCCTCCCTGCAGTCGGTGTGAATGGCTTTGAGATAAGAGAACCTCCAAACAAAGAATTAAAAATGGAAAAAAAGAAGTGATGTTCCTCGAAGCTCATCCCACGGATCTTGCCCTCTGTTTGTCTACCTTTCCGATGCGACTTCCTATATATGCCATCCTAGCTAGCTCCCCTGCACAGAGGGAAACACAGAGAGAACTTGAAGTCAATTTTGAGAGCAATTCTTACTTTCTATAACACTAAATCTTATTCATGGCTTCTTGGAAAAAGACTATTAC